AGGAGTGGCTGGTGGGTTTGAACCTCCAGCCTTCTGGTTAGCAGTCAAGTGCTTTAGCCACTATGCTACCAGAGCTCCTCCCAGGCAAGTATATAGAGACTAAAGTTCATTAGTGGCTACCAGGGGTAGTTGGGAGGGGAAGGAAAGGAGGACTCACTGCCTAGGACACACAGAGCTTCTGTTAAGAGTGATAGCATAATTTGGGGATGAATAAGGGTGATGGTTGAATAACATGATGAATATAATTAATGTCACTGAACTGTACATGTGAAGTTTGTTGAAATGTCATGTTTTTTTATGTATATATTTGCCACAATGAAAAAAGCTACCATTTGTCAAACAACTATTATTATTATACTCATCTTGTACAATTGCAGTGCTTGAGTTATGGTCATCATGGCCAGTTGGGAATTCCGTGACCTTTAGTCTTCCTATCTAGTATTGGCTTCTTAATCTGGACTGGTCAAGACAGTGCCACCAGATTAATCCACTGTCTTTTCAACCAAGGAGAAGAAGAAATTCAGAAAGGGTAGTGAAGATAGACATACATCCCTTCCATCTCTTTATACTGCATAAGATATGGTAGACATTCCTAGATGTGTACACACTAATGTGTACATTAGTGTGTGATAAAGGTGAATAGACAGATGTGAGATGCTTTTGGAGCTCACAGGAGAAAGCAGCCAGGACTGGCTCAATTCAGTCTGGCTGTAGCTCCTGAAGTCCCTTCAGGCCCATGTTATGTCCTCTCCTCTCATCTGCCCTCACTCCTTCCAGGCTGTAGAGAACTTCATCTACTCCTGCGCTGGCTGCTGTGTGGCCACGTACGTCTTGGGCATCTGTGACCGACACAATGACAACATCATGCTGAAGACCACTGGCCACATGTTCCACATAGATTTTGGCCGCTTCCTGGGCCATGCCCAGATGTTTGGCAACATCAAGCGGTAAGTGGTCTCCAGAAGCCAGGATATGTGGGTATAGAGTATAGGTCAGGGATGTCAGCAGAAGCGGTTGTTATGGGTAGACCTCCAAGCACAGACCCTGGGCTGACCAGGTTTGGATAAGAGGCCAAGTCCTTGTGGGACTGTGCAGAAGAGGGTGAGGACCAACTGTTCTCCGTCCCTTCTGAGGCTGAGCAAAAGGAAATGAACCCATATTGTAGCAAAAGGGAATGTGATTAGATATTCAGGAAAAAAATATTGATCACTCATAGACATAGAACCAGTGAAGGATGTGGAATATCTGTTACTGGTGATGTTTAAGATTAAGGTAAGAGAAAAAGAAAAGTTAGAGAGAACCCCACCTATCCAGGAAGACATTAGGGATGAGGGAAGTCATCCTCTGATGAAGTCCACAAGGGAACCTTTCTCCTCCATGTTAATGTTCTATCTGTATGTTCCCCTTGGCCCAGGGACCGTGCCCCCTTTGTCTTCACCTCGGACATGGCATATGTCATCAATGGGGGCGACAAGCCTTCCAGCCGCTTCCATGACTTTGTTGACCTTTGCTGCCAAGCCTACAACCTCATTCGCAAGCACACCCACCTCTTCCTCAACCTTCTGGGCCTGGTGAGGAGCTCTATTCTTGGCTGAACCCCTCCACTTCTCTGAGCCCAAATGGAGCACCTGCCTGCCCTAAATAAAGGCAGGGCCTAGGGTACCTAGGGATAATGGTGTGTATGTAAGTGTTGGACTCCCTGATTCATCCCTTTGACCTCTGTGGCCCTCTAGCCACCACCCACAGCATCTATCTCCCACCCTCTAGAAGGATCAGGGAACGTCACTATAGAAAATCTTGCCCTATATTGGGGAAAAAGGAAGAAGTCCTTGTTGTTATGGATATTATTTCTTCTTTCCTCTCCTTCTAGATGTTGTCTTGTGGGATCCCTGAGCTCTCAGACCTAGAGGACCTCAAGTATGTGTATGATGCCCTGAGGCCTCAGGACACAGAGGCCAATGCCACGACCTACTTCACTAGGTAATACCCTGTGCAAAACTGCCCGCCCTGAGTAATTTCCAGGCTACTTGATTGGTAGGAACAGGACTAGGGAATGGGAAAGGCTAAGATGGCAGCCTAGAGTTGACAGCATGGATCTGTTGTCCCACCTTTGCTTCTGGCTTAGGTAGATCACTTTCCTTCCCCCCGCCTCAGTTTCCATGTACATTTTGGTGCTAACTTTTGTATGTAGAGGTATTGTGATCTGACTTTTACTTGCACCAGATCCCAGCTAAAGACTATGTCTAAGGGACAAAGTTTAATACAGTTTCTGTAACAGTTTTTAGCTCTCTGGGATCAGGCCCACCACCCTTATCAAAACATGGAAGTCTATGGTTCAATTTTTCTGTATTTGACAAAGTTTTAAGGAACTAAAACTTTTAGCATGAAGACAGGGATGTGTCTGTATATTAATGCCTATCATTTTGTCCATGTAGGTGGTATCTCCATCTTATTCTGCACTAGTTCTGGAACTTAGCAAGCTAAATTTTCTCTGTTGGGTCTAACAGAGGACCTCTCTCTCTCTCTTTTTTTTTAAATTTTTTATTTTGCTTTACATAGCTAAGTATGTTGTTATGTGCCATTGGGTCAATTCCAACTCAGAGAATTCCCCATGGAGAACCTCTCCTTTAGAATTGAAGTCTCTAGATTGGATAGTCCTCGGTGAGATTCCATTGTACTAAACAACCTTGGAATTCAGTTTGAGAATGATATTTAGACATTTACATGGTAACCCCACAGTGGATTCCCTAATTCCTTCCTACCTTGGCTTGACTGTCTTTGGCTCACGTGGGCTGTAAGGAGAGATAAGACCCCAAGATTCATACAAGTAAATCATGTGTATGTAGATTAATTATGTGCCAGTCATGCTCTCTATGAGGATATTTCATAATGAAAAGGATTTGATCTGTGGGAGCTCCGTCAAGGCACTGGGGATTTGGGTCTGTGATTACATCCTTTTCTTCCCATCCTCTTGCACCAACAGGTTGATTGAGTCCAGCCTGGGCAGTGTAGCCACAAAGCTCAATTTCTTCATCCATAACCTGGCTCAGATGAAGTTCACGGGCTCAGATGACCGACTGACCCTTTCCTTTGCCCCCCGGACACACACCCTCAAGAGCTCCGGCCGCATCAGTGATGTTTTTCTCTGCCGCCATGAGAAGGTCTTCCACCCCAAGGGTTATGTAAGTGTCCTCTCCAATCCTACCCCCTTTTACACCCCCATTGACCCCAGCTTAGTGGAGTTCTGACTGTTCTTTACACCTTGGGCAGCAGACACTGGAGTTGTCTGAGCACTTCCATCAAGGCACTGGGGACTTGGGTCCATGATTACATCCAGACTACTTCCCTGTCACTTGCTCAAGTGACCTGCCTAGAATCAGGGGGCTGAGTTGGATGATTATTCTGAGTCAAGGCTTCTGTGAAACATTTACAGGAAAACTTTGCTTTCAGATTCCTGCATAGGAACTAGCATCTTTATCTCCATTGAAGATACTTTCATCCTCTTCCTCCTAGCAAATGAACTGTTCACACAACTCTTCCCTTACCAGCTCCCTTCATTGGGTGCAGAGAGTTGGGCAGTTATATCCTAAATCTGGGCCTCTGCAGATATATGTGGTAAAGGTGATGCGAGAGAACACTCATGAGGCAACTTACATCCAGCGGACGTTTGAGGAGTTCCAGGAATTACACAATAAGCTGCGGCTGCTCTTCCCTTCTTCCCTCTTGCCCAGGTAGCTCCCTTTTATTCTCTGCAGAGGAGTGCTGGGGAGGAGTGCTAATTATAGTGGGATGGGGGTGGGCAGGACTGTATAGGCAAGGAAATCACTCTTTGAAAGGTGTAGCTGCTTTACTTGGCCTGGTAATGAGTTTGGTGAGAAGTTCTCCCCCTGCTGGTCAAGATCTCCTGATAACCTCAAGAGGTTTTACCAACTCATAGTGACTCTATAGGAGCTCTGGTAGCATAGTGCCTAAGACACTTGACTGCTAACCAGAAGGCTGGAGGTTCAAACCCACCAGCCACTCCTTGGAAGGAAGATGGGGCAGTCTACTTCCATAGTGATACTGCCTCGGAAACCCAAGGAGGGGTCGCTATGAGTCGGGTCCAACTCGATGGCACAAAACAACAGTGACTCTATGGGGTAGAGTAGAACAGCCTCATAGGGTTTCCAAGGCTGTGATCTTTATGGAAGCAGATTGCCATCTCTTTCATTTGCAGAGTGGCTAGTGGGTTCAAACCACTGACCTTTTGGTCAGCAGCAGTGCACTTAACCACTGCAGCATCAGGGCTCCTTAGAGATCTTACTAACCAAAAGCAAACTCACGGCCATCAATTGATTCCAACTCATAGAGACCCCTATTGGATTTCTGAGGCTGTAACTCTTTCGGAAATAGATTGCCCCATCTTCCTTCTGCAGAACAGCTGGTGGGTTTGAGTGACTGACTTTCTAGTTAGCAGCCAAATGCCTTATCCACTGTGCCACCAGAACTCCTTAGAAGTCTTGCTACAGCCTTGAAAATACTTGAGCCCACTTGCCAGAAGGAAAGCAAATTGGTCCCAAGGCAGGGGAATTGACTGAATCTGACTGTTTCAAAGTTTCTAACTCTTTAAACAGTAAAAACGCAAATGCAACGTAATGCACTGCCATCGAATTGGATCTGACTCATAGCGACCCCTCCTTGGGTTTCCGAGGCAGTATCACCATGGAAGTAGATTGCCCAACCGTCCTTCTGAGGAATGGCTGGTGGGTTTGAACCTCTAGCCTTCTGGTTAGCAGTCAGATGCCTTAGGTACTATACCACCAGAGCTCCCTTAAAGAGTAAAACTACTTTTCAAATGAATTTTTATATTAATTGGAGATAGTCTGACTGAAAATCGGAGTGCTCTGAAGCCCCTGAGGACCTTCTGGGGAGCCACAAGACCCAGCAGAACAGTTTGGGTTTCCTTCCTAGTGTGAGATGCTAAGCATGTGTGTCATTGGCACAGTCCTAGGGAGCTGGTGGGGTGAATGGTGGGGCAGGGTAATGGTCTTTGGGAGGGGAGGCCGTTGGGAAATGTGGATCAGGTCACTGAAAATGCAAATGACATTTGAAAAAAGCCTGCTGCCTCTTAATTTTCTTTCTCCATCTTCCCCCTCCTGCATCACCACTGCCCATCTCACCAACCCAGCTTCCCTAGTCGCTTCGTGATTGGCCGTTCCTGGGGAGAGGCTGTGGCTGAGCGGCGGCGGGAGGAATTAAATGGCTACATCTGGCACTTAATCCACGCAGCCCCTGAGGTGGCAGAGGTGGGTCCGCTCTCCTCCATTCCAGCTATTCTGGTCACTGGTGTGGGGCAGGCAGAGAGTGGAAGGGTCCCAGGCTGCTAGGAATCAGGAAGAGGGAATTGGCTCTTCTGATTTTGCTGGTGAAATGACCAGTGTGAGACTCTTAGGAGGAAGATAAAGAGGAGAAAAGGTATCTCAGTGGTTCCAGCCTCACAGAGGCTATCCTAGTTGTACACTGTCCTAGTTATCTAGTGCTGCTATAGCATAAATACCACAAGTGAATGGCTTTAATACATAGAATTTTTTTTTTCCCCACAGTTTAGGAGGCTAGAAATCCAAATTCAGGGTGCTGGTTCTAGGCTTTCTCTCTGTGAGCTCTGGAAGAAGGTACTTGTCTCTGAGCTTCTGCTCCTGGGAGATGTTCATGTGGCTTGACATCTCTCTTCCCTCATCTCTACTTGTTTGTTTAATCTCTTTTATATCTCAAAAGAGATCAATTCAACTCATTGTACACTAATTGTCTCATTAACATAACAAAGACAGCCCATAGGATTATAACCACAGCCATAGTGGTTAGGATTTACAACACATATTTTTGGAGAACACAGTTCACTCCATAACATTCTACCCTTCAGTGCCCCAAAATCCATGTCCTTACCATATGCAAAACACATTCACCCTATCATGTGAGTCTAGAAGTCTTAAATCAGCTCCAGGTCTAAAGTTTCATCTTCTGAATCATCTAAATCAAATATAGGTTAGACTTTAGGTGTATTCCATCTTGGGGCCAAAGTCCTTTTCATCTATGACCCTGTGAAATGTAGAATACAAGTTAACTGCTTTCAAGGGGTAGTGGTGGAACAGGTACAACATGGACATTTCCATTGTAAGTGGGAGAAATTGGAGGGAAAGAAGGGATAAAGGGCACCAAGCAAATCCAAAACCCAGCAGAACAAATAATGTTAGCCCTCAAGGCTTGAAAACAATTCTCTGTCCTATAAGACCATCTAAGGAACTCTGATAGCGTAGTGCTTAAGGCACTTGACTGCTAACCAGAAGGCTGGTGGTTCAAATCCTCCAGCCACTCCTCGGAAGGAAGGTTGGACGATCTACTTCTGTAGTGATACTGCCTCGGAAACCCAAGGAGGGGTCGCTATGAGTCGGGTCCAACTTGACGGCACGTAACCAGAACAACGTAAGACCATATGGGCAATGACTCTGCCCTTCACACTCTGGGTGCTGGCCATGCTCTCTGGACTCTTAGTGGAGACCCTTCAGACCCGGGCTTTGTTGCTTTAGCTCTCTGGGCAACTGCATTCTCCTAGTCCATCTGAGTGGTGACCTCACTCACTTAGCCCCAGTAGGCTCCATTCTTCTGCCCCCTGGGCATGGCAGGCCCACACCCACAACTTTGCACAGTGGCCTCATCTTGCTGGCACACTTTAATGGCAGCTCCACACTCTGGAACTGTGTTGGTGTAGATCTGACTCTTTGAAACCTAGGAAGCTGTGGCCCCACCCTTTGAGATCCAGGAGACCATGGCCCTACCCTTTGAAACAGAAGGTCCTGCTTCCCGTGCTCCTTCCAGCAGCTCTGCTGATCTCCCAGCTGTTCCAGAGATGGTCCTTTCCTTCCCTTGGAGGACAACAGATGTAGCTCCTTTGACTTGTTTCCTGCCTGTAGAATTCTAAGAGGCACATAGTTTTCTTTCCTTTCAGTCTAAACTGATGAGTTTTCTGCTGTGGTAGTGAGTTAGATCCATCAGTCACAGGCTTAATCTCTTTAACAGGATACATCCTTGGTGAAAATCCTAGGACACTTGTCCTTAGTTTGTACAACCAAAACATCAAACCAAACTCACTGCCATCCTGTTGTTCCAACTCATAGTGACCCCCACTGGGTTTCCCAGGCAGTAAATCTTCACAGAAGTAGATTGCCCCATCTTCCTTTTGCAGAGCAGCTGGTGGGTTTGAACTGCTAACCTTCTGGCTAGCAGTCAAATGCCTTAGGCACTACACCACCAAAGCTCCTTAGTTGAGTTTATGCAATTGAATTTTCCAAATCTTTAAATCATCACAATCACCTTTGATGTCCATAATTCTACCAACAGTGTCTTCAAGGTAATCCAGGCTTTTACTACTAGGCACCTTAAAATCCTTACAGTCTCTACCTATTACCCAATTCCAAAACCACTTCCATGTTTTAGGTATTTGTTAGGGCAGCCACCCCCACGTCTTCATACCAAATACTGTCTTAGTTTTCTAGTGCTGTTATTACAAATACCACACAAGTCAGTGGCTTTAACAAACAGAAATTTATTTTCTCACAGTTTAGGAGGCTAAAAGCCTGAATTCAGGGTGCTGGCTCTAGCGGAAGGCTTTATCTTTCTGTTAACTCTGGAGGAAGGTCCTTGTCTCTTGAGCTTCTGCTCCTAGGTGATCATCTCTTCTCCCCCATCTCTACTCCACTTTTGTTTAATGTCTTTTAATGTGCTTGATTTTGGAGTTCTGGTGGCGTAGTGCCTAAGGCATTTGACTGCTAACCAGAAGACTGGTGGTTCAAACCTACCAGCCACTCCTTGGCAGGATGGTTGGGCAATCTACTTCCATAGTGATACTGCCTCGGAAACCCAAGGAGGGGTCGTTATGAGTCAGAACCAACTTGACAGCAGTGAGTTTGGTGTTTAGGAACGTGCTTAATTTCTTTATTATCTCAAAAGAGACGGATTCAAAACACACTCTAGATTAATCCATCTCATTAACATAACAAAGACAACTCATTTCCAAATGGTATTATAACAACAGGCATAGAGGTTAGAATTTACAGATCGTATTTTTGAGAGACACAATACAATCCATAGTATACATGAAACATAATTAAATTGGATATTTTCATGCAGCCAGTTACAAGGAGAGATGTATATGTTAGATGTCATCCCAAAGTGATTAGAATGATCAGAACTGTGGAAAGAATTCTTGAGGAAAAGCTGTTTGGAACAGATTGAATGTGTGTAGATATCCACTTAGTTTTTTTTTTTTTTTTTTAACAAGTTAAATTCTAATAGGCATAAGAACAGTATGTTGTTGTTGTTATGTGCTGTCGAGTCAGATCCGACTCATAGTGACCCCTCCTTGGGTTTCCGAGGCAGTATCACTACAGAAGTAGATTGCCTCATCTTCCTTCCAACGAGTGGCTGATGGGTTTGAACTGCCAGCCTTCTAGTCAGCAGTCAAAGTGCCTTAGGCACTACACTACCAGAGCTCCCAAAGAACAATATAGTCATCAGGAATCCCATCACTCTAATCACTCTAACTAAATAATCACCTCTGTTTTCAGGTCCCCCCCTTTTTTTGTTCACATGCAAATGTGACTTTTAGTTTTACTATGGTCATAAGGAATCCTGGTGGTACAGTGGTTAAGAGCTTGGCTGCTAACCAAAAGGTTGGCAGTTGGAACCCACTCAGGAGCTTTCAGGGAGAGAGATGTGGTGATCTTCTTTCATAAAGATTACAGCCTAGAAAACCCTATAGGGTAGTTCTCCTTTGTCACATGGGGTCGATATGAGTCGAAAATCTACTTAATGGCACCTAACAATAATAACAGTAGTCATAACTTAAATATAATTCAATATATTTTTTCTACTTAGCATCTATAGTAAGCATATGTTTTAACTTTAAAAAGCCATACTAAGTTAGTAGTACATTCACTTGGAATACTCTAACTTCCTTAACCATATGCTTCTTAAAAGACATTTTAAATTAGGCGCTCCCCACTGCCGCCACCACTACTAATGCTAAAGTGTTTTGTTTGTTTTCCAAATTAGTTAAGAAATATTCTCAAGAGTACAGTTTATGATCTGTGTCCAAGACTGGCTCAAGGTTTTCTGTGTGTGCACACACACACATATACATGTGTTTTGGTTCTCTTGTGCTGTTCTAGCAGAAAACACCATAAATGGGTGGCCTGAACAAACAGGAATTTATTCTCTTACAGTTTAAGAGGCTAGAAGTCCAGGTTCAAAGTGCCAGTTCTAGGGGTTTAGTGAAAGCCCCTTGACCTTGGGCTTCAGCTCTATCTCTTGCTTCTGAGCCACTGGAGCTGGAGGCTTCTTTTAACTGAGTCAGCTGCTGGCTGCTGAGGCTGACAAACCCAAAATTACACAGTCCCAAGATTATTAAACAACACGGCAGGCCGCTGAATAAAGACTTGGCTATATGCAGCGTACAAGCATGCCAAAAAGCTCAGAGACCTTTCTCAAGGGTTCTCCTTATATACTGGAAGTAGACTACATCCCTAAGGCAGCTAATTGACTGCTCCAGTAGATTCCACCATGGAGTTGATTACCAGTCTCATCATGGGGAATACTCCATCCAGCTGCCCAGCCACTCAACCAGTCCTAGCCAAGTTGACACACAACATTAACTACCACAGTGTACATGCACATATGTGTGTATTGATAGAGGAAGAAATACTGGAAAAGAACAAACTGCTTTTAACTTGATGTGACCTAGTTTCATTTATTCCTTTTTTTTTTTTAACTTTCTATTATGTAAACTTTCAAGCCTATAGAAAAGTAGAATTTTGTAACGAGTGCTGATATATCTTTCACCTTGACTGTTATTAATATTTTGCCATATTTACTTAATCTATTTTTATGAAGTATTTTAAATAACAGACACCATGATATTCTACCCCTAAATACTCAGTATGCTTCTCTAAAACATACGGATATTTCTTATGTTAATCATGGTGCCATTATTTTACCCCATACATACTCTATATTCATATTTTTGTTATTGTCCCCGAAATGTCTTTTTACAGTTCGTTTGTTTGAGCCAGGATGCAAACAAGAATTGCACACTTGGTTGTTACATTTCATGTGTCTTTTAATCTGGAGGAAACCACCCTCCCCCTTTTTTTATTGTGTATCTTATTGAAGAATAATCCTGTTTTCTGATTCATCCCAGTGTGATTTGGTGTATACCTTCTTCCACCCCCTGCCCCGGGATGAGAAGGCTGTGGGCACCAGCCCAGCTCCCAAATCCTCAGGTACAGTGCCTTTTCTGTGACATCCTTGCCAACCCCAGTGAACCACTCCTACGGGTAACCTCACCTGCTCCTACCTTCTCCCAATTCTCTTTCCTTGACTTGTCTCCAGTACCTTTCCTTACAGGCTAGGGAATCTGGTTTCCCATTTAGGCTGTGGGATCCATAGCTCCTATGCCAGGTTCCCCAGGGGTTGGATATATACTTGACAATTACACCTCAAATCCCAACTTAATGCCATATCATATTTATGGATTCCACTCGTGTAGATCTCCCAGGGGGTATCAGGAGGCCCATCTTCTGGATGAGCTGGTGGTAGAAGGGCAGGGTCAGAAGGAAAATAGAAACCTGCCTGCCACCAGAAAGGAACATAGCTGGCCTCATGAACTTTCTCACTTTCCTTTGCCCCCACAGACGGCTCATGGGCCCGCCCCATCGGGAAGGTAGGAGGGGAGGTGAAGCTGTCCATCTCTTACAAAAACAATAAACTCTTCATTATGGTGATGCATATTCGGGGCTTGGTAAGTACATGGGCAATACTCACTTGGCTCTTTTTCTGGTACTTTTCTGACTGGTCAGACCTTCATTGGCCCCGTGTCATGACAGTAACCATTGTGGGCCTACTACCATGCAAAGCTTATGGTATGAGCAAATAGTACAAGACATAGCTTTGCACTAGGCATGATCTTTGACAAGTAACTTAATTACTCTGACCTCATTAAGATGAGGATGTTAGTACACTACCTCATAGGGTTATTAGTGGGAGTAAGTGAGATAATACATGCAAAGCATTTAACACAGTGCCTGTTATCACATATATGATGATGATGATTATGGGAGTTATTATAAGCAAGAGACCCAAGGGCCTTTTTATCTGGTTATAGAGCTAAGGCCAACACATGGCATCATTGAGCGTAATCAAGGCAATATATAATTATGAAATTTTTGTTATGGACTCTAAGAACATTGTGGGAGGAAGGGGGAGGGAACTTTTATTGACTGCCTACAACATGTCACCATTTTGCATAAGTGTGGTAGGAAGAGCATAAGCTTTGGAATCAGATAGACCTGGGTTTCACTCTCACACCATCATTCATTCACTCAATAAGTGTTCATTGAGTGCCTGCCATGTGACAGGCATTGAAATATTAGCTGTGGATACAGTGGTAACCAAAACAAAAAGCTCTGCCCTCAGAGTGCTTACATTCCAATTGGAAGAGACAGCCAGACAAATAAACAAGTAAAATATATGGCATGCCAGCTGATGGTAAGAGCTATGTGGAGAAATAAAGCAGAGAAGGAATGATGGAATAGAATGAAGGAGTGGCAATTTTTGTATAAATTGGTCAGGGAAGCCTTCATTAAGGAGGAGAGGTACTTTAGCAAAGATGGGAAGGAGGTGAGGGAGGAAGCCATGAATAATCATCTGAGGAAGGATTATTCCAGGGGGAGGGAGCCAGGAGCCTGCCAGGGGTAGTGTGGCTACAGCAGAAGGAACAAAGAGGAAAGTAGTGGGAGATGCAGTCAGAGAGTACAGTAGGCCAGAGCACATGGGTAACATGACAAGGACTTTGGCTTTTCCTCTGGATGAGATGGGAGCTATTGGAGGTTTTTGAGCAGAGGTGTGACATGATCTTATTTAAGTTTTAAAAGGATCAGGCTATATAAATCACTTAGTAGTTGGCTGCCTTGGACAAGCAACTTAATCTCTCTCACTCATTTCTTCACCTCTTAGAGGTTATGAGGGTGCAGTGCTGGTTCAGTGGTAGAATTCTTACCTTCCAGGTGGGAGACCTGGCTTCCATTTCCAGCCAGTGCACCTCATGTGTACCAACTACCCATCTGTCATTGGAGGTTTGTGTGTTGCTAGGTGCTGAACACATGTCAATGGAGCTTCCAGACCAAGACATTCTAGGTGATCTACTTCTGAAAATCAGCCAATGAAAACCCTATGGATCAAACAACCAGAATACAATTAGAGGGAATGTTGATACATTGTGAAAAATGTAACTAATATCACTGAATAATTTGTGTAGAAATTGTCACATGGGAGCCTAATTTGCTGTGCAAGGTTTCACCAAAAAAAAAAACAAAACAAAACAAGAAAGTATTATTTAAAAAAGAAAAGAAAACCCTGTGGATTAACAGTCTGATCCCCAACCAATCATGGGGTTTGTTGCACGAATCAGGAATATTTTGTTTTGTTGTACATGGAGTCCCCATGAGTCAGGGACCAGCTTGATGGCAGCTAACAACAATAACAACAATGAGGGGGTTAAGTGGGCCGAATGATAAAATAGACAAAGATACTGTGGCAAGAGGATTTCTGTGGACATGAAGGTCATTGAAAACAGGCTCCATTATGGGATGCCCTGGGCATTTAGATAAACAGTATAGACTTGCTATTCTGGTACCTAGTGCTGCCCTGACAAGAATACACCACAAATGGGATGGTCTTAACAAACAAGAGTTTATTCTCTTACAGTTTGGAGGCTTTAAGTCCAAGTTCAAAGCACCAGGCTCTAGGGGCTGGGTGAAAGCCCCTCAGCCTTGGGCTTCAGCTCTGCCTCCAGCTCCTGGCCCACTGAAGCTAGAGGCTTTTCTTCACTCAGACAGCTGCTGGCTGCTGAGGCTGCCAAGCCCAAGGTTGACAAGTCAAAAGGCACAGTCCCAATGTTACCAAACCACATGGCAGGCCATCAATTCAAGTCCATTGTAAGACCCAAGGTCGGCAGAGCATGGTAGGCTGCTGAACAACAACACAGCTACATACAGGGTTCAAGGTGCCATAAGTTCAAGACTGTTCCCCAAGGCTTCTGCTTATATACAGGAAGCAGACCACATTCCCTGAGGCAGCTACTCAGTGTTACTGGAACATAGCCATATCTGTTCACTTAAGTATTGTTTATATGGTGGTTTTCATGCAGCAGCTGCACAGTTGAGATTCCTCAGTAGATTCCTCCATGAAGTTGATTACCAGTCTCATCATGGGGAATACTACATCCAGCTGCCCAGCCACTCAACCAGGCCCAGCCAAGTTGACACACAGACTTAACCACCACAGTTGAACTACCATGCTTGCTATGATGGACAATCTGCTTGATATTTCAGTGGAACACCTAATATCGTCGTGTCAGGTTTCTCTGTCAGAATGGAGTGGGATGGGAAGCAGACCAATAAATTATATGTTCGTTGAAGAAGCCAGATGTGGGATATGAGTCTGGTTCAAGGTGTGATCCTAGGAATGGTGACGAGAATCTTTATCTTGTGTGTTTGCGTTCCTTTGTAGCAATTGCTCCAGGATGGGAATGACCCTGACCCCTATGTGAAGATTTACCTCCTTCCTGACCCTCAGAAAACCACTAAAAGGAAAACCAAAGTGGCCCGTAAAACCTGCAATCCCACCTACAATGAAATGGTATGTGAGGAAGTTGGTAGGGATAGGACAGAGGTCAGCAAACGATGCCTGTTTTTGTAAATAAAGTTTTATTGGAACATAGCCATATCTATTCATTTATGTATTGTTTATACAGCTGTTTTCATGTAGCAACTGCACAGTTGAGTAGTTTCAACAAGACCATATGACCTGCAAAGCCTAAAATATTGACTATACTGGCCCTTAGAATAGATTCCACAGCTGGAGCATGGCCTCTGTGTGTGTATGTATGTTGGGGGGTGAGTTCCAGCTGGGTCTATGCTGAACATGAACAGAAGCGTCAATAAAAAGCCCTCACCTGTTTGAACAAATTTGCAAATCTGCAAAGAACAGATTTGGACTCTATAAACCTTTTCTATTTACTTGGATTCTGTAGGGTTAGGGACACAGCCGGATTAAACTACCACAGACTTAACCATCGCACTCTTCCTTGTTCTCTCTGGAGTCTTCAAGTTCCCTCTCTCATTGCTTCCCTTTCTCTCCATTCTCCACTTTTGCAGTTGGTGTATGATGGGATTCCCAAGGGAGACCTGCAGCAGCGGGAGCTACAGCTGAGCGTGCTGAGTGAGCAGGGATTCTGGGAGAATGTCCTCCTTGGGGAGGTGCACATCCGTCTACGAGAGCTAGACCTGGCCCAGGAGAAGACTGGCTGGTTTGCACTGGGATCTCGAAGTCATGGAACCTTGTGAACCCAGCAGAGCCATGGTCCTGGACTCCAGGGTGGTGATGGGAACTGGGGCAGAGGAGTCTCTCCTGCTTGAAACTTCCTTTCCTTGAGAAGGAAAAGGCAGGGCCCTCAGTGGGCCACCCCTCCGTCCAGGTGGATCTGTCCTCCATGACAGGAGGTGGGGAGAGTAAGATGCTCTCTGCTTTCTCTTCTGCAGACTGAACTTGGGTTGGTTGTGATGTACAGCCCCTTGGAGGCTGTGAAGTTGCAGCAAAGTTTTAAGTTTACCTTGTGTCAAGGGAGCAATGCCTGGTTTGGGGTATGTGGGGGCAGGTTGTATGAAGTAGTATTTTGAGGGAGGGTGGGTGGATATCTTTATTTTTATTTTTAAAAAATGAAATAGTAACGTTGTCCTAACTGGACAGAAAGCCTTGCGAGAAGGGACATACATATGCCTCAGAAGGCAAGAGAGGAAGAATATTTGGATTTTTTGTATGATTAAGGTTCTTATTGGACTTTTTCCTAGGTTTTTTTTGTTTGTTTTTGTTTTTCTATCTATAGGAATTATTTGGGGAGGGGCTCAGTGGGGCCTCAGTTAGAGCTCCCTCTTTAAGGGTAAGCAGGGGCGGATCGAGGAGGGTGGGGATGCTAGACTGAGGCCTGGGCCAGGGCCTTTGATTTTGCCTCCAAAGGAGAGCACCATGATACCTGTGTGTGTGTAAGGAAGGGCCTTTGTCTTGGGGTTCTGCCAAGGACCTGTATTCAGGGACCCATGCATCTGGGGGAGCAGTTTTTCCTCTCATCTTCCCCTACTTTGTTAGGACTTGCCCTGAATACTGTCCTCTACCCCTTGTCCCCTCTATTCTCTCAGCTCATCTAGGGGCCATCCAGTACCTATGAATACGCTGGGGGTGCCACCCCTCCATCTCTCCCTAAATTTTTCTCTTATGGGATAATGTCTGCCTCAGCCCTTAGGTTTAGTTTGGCCCAAGGGCATCTTGGCCTTGGGAAAGGGCCTCTAGGTTGCAGATGCCAACATGGCTGCCTCCTAGGCAGTTTCTGGGAAGCATTCCCTATCACCCTCCACTTCTTTCCTCTGTGCTTCTTCTCCCCAATCCCTTTTTCTGGCATACTTTTTATAAGAATTCCCTTCATTTTGTGGGGCCATAAACCTATTTAACCTGGAGCCAAAGGGATGCCCTGACTAGAGGAAATGGGCATGGGGTGAGGGATTCAGTCAAAACTTGTTTTTTGCCAATGACCATCTCTGGTCCTGAGGAGGCTGGTTGGCATGGTGATTATTCCCCTGTAGCTGAGCTCAGGAGATGGGAGAAGGAGACCAGGTCTCTTATCTCTTCATATTCTTTATTCTCTACCAGACAGATATTACATTCGCTCTTTCACAGTTCACTCCAAAGGATTGTCCTCCTTAAAAAAGAGGGGAGAGACTTTGGATTGGATATTAACTTTGTCAATCAGAATCATCTGGCTGTGGCCTGTGATGGGGAAAGGAATAAGTAATTCTGTGAGCTGTCCCTCACCAGGACCTACCTACCATATTCGTCCCCAACTCCAAGGGAAGAAATTCCTCCTTTTGCTGACTCATTCCATAACTGGAGAAAGAAGCTCCAATCACTGAAGCCACAGGGCAGCAAAGGAGTTTAAATTAAAAATGCCAAGAATGATGCAGGCTGGTATGGGGAGGAGCTGGGGGAGTGGAGAAAGGGAGTGGGACTTTTCCAGATGAATGGACCATAGGTGTGTTACTGGCTTTTGGCCTGTTAACTCATCTTATTTTGACCCTTTAGGCCCCTGGTTTAAAGAGGTCTGTGTACTGTACCCACTTCCCAGACTCCCTTGTATCTCCTTCTTTCTCTGGAATTGTATTTTCTAATAAATGACATTTGAGAAAAAAAATTATTTCCAAGATGGGTTGATGTTTAAATTAAAACAGCTGATGTACAAGATGAAAATAATAATGGTAATCATTTTACAGATGCAACTTTTATATGGACTAATGCACCACAGAAGGCATTTTCCATTTGCTGTGGGCACAACGACTTGATCAGATGGGTATTATTATTCCCATTTTACAGTTGAAGAAATTAAAACTCAGATTAAGTAATTTGCCTAAGGATACACTGCCAGTTAAAGGATTGACTCCAAACCTTGTGCTATTCCTCCTTGACAATGTTAATACAATCCCTTCTGTTGATTTGGAGTTCCTAGGTGGTGCAAATGGTTAACAGTTATGGGTGGAGCTTTTGGTCCACACAGAAGCATCTCTGAAGAAAGGCCTGGTGAGCTATTTTTTAAAAATCAGCCATCGAAAAAACCCTGTGAAGCACAGTTCTACTCTGACACACATGGGTTTGCCAGGAGTCAGAACTGACTCAATGACAACTGGGGTGGTTATGTTGGTATAATAATTGATAGTTTTCAAAGTGCTTTAATATATGTCATTTTTTCATTACAACTACCCTCAGAAGTAGATATGGCTCATTTATTTATTCTTTCAACACAAATTGTGCATATGAGCACTGTTCTGGTTACCTAGTACTGCTCTGAAAAGAATATACCACAAATGGGATGGCTTGAACAAACAGGAGTTTATTCTTTTACAGTTTGGAGGCTTTAAGTCCGAGTTCAAAGTGCCAGTGTGGTAGTTAATTTGTATGTCAACTTGGCTGGGCCTGGTTGAGTGGCTGGGAAGCTGGTGGTAGTTATTCTCCATGATGAAACTGGCAATCAACTCCATGGTGGAATCCACAACAAGCAGCTGAGTAGCTGCCTTTGGGATGTGGTCTACTTCCTGTATATAAGGAGAAGCCTTGGAGATAGTCTCTAGCTTATGGCACGCTTAGACCCTGCATATAGCCGTGTCATTGTTCAGCAGCCTACCATGTTCTGCCAACCTTGGGACTTACCATGGACTTGAATTAATGGCCAGCTGTGTGGTTTGGTAACATGGGGCTGTGCTATTTTATTTGTCCACCTTGGGCTTGTTAGCCTCAGCAGCCAGTAGTTGCCTGAGTGAAGAGATGCCTCTAGCTTCAGTGGGCCAGGAGCAAGAGGCAGGCTGAAGCCCAAGGTCGAGGGATTTTGACCCAGCCCCTAGAGCCTGGCACTTTGAACTTGGACTTAAAGCCTCCAAACTGTAAGAGAATAAAGTCCTGTTTGTTAAAGCCATTCCATTTGTGGTATATTTCTGTCAGAGTGGCACTAGTAACCAGAACAACCAGGCTTTAGGGGCTGGGTGAAAGCCCCTCAAGCTTGGGCTTCAGCTCTGCCTCCTGCTCCTGGCCCTCTGAAGCTAGAGGCTTTTCTTCATTCAGACAGACTCTGGCTGCTGAGGCTGACAAGCCCAAGGTTGACAAGTAAAAAGGCATTATCCCTTAATTACCAAACCACACAGCAGGCCATTAATTCAAGTCCATTGGAAGTCCCAATGTTGACAGAGCATGGCAGGCTGCTGAACAATGACTTGACTACATGCAGGGTTCAAGCGTGCCATAAGCTAGAGACCATTCCCCAAGGCTTCTCTTTACATATAGAAAGCAGACCTCATCACTATGGCAGCTACTCAGCTGCTCACAATAGATCCCACCATAGAATTGATTACCAGTCTCATGGGGAATACTATATCCAGCTGCCCAGCCACTCAACCAGGCCCAACCAAGTTGACACACAAACTTAACTACCACAAGCACTTACCAAAGAATACAGTGTGATGATGCCTCTTAGAGTTGTGTACTGGCCCTTATACCAGGTACTATGCTGCTGGGTTACACAGATAAATTAAGATAATCTTCTGGTTTAAGAAGTTTACTGCCTAGTGATATTAACCAACTCTGTTTTACAAGAGAGGAAACAGAAACTCTTAAACACCTCATAAGGACTGAACTGTGGGAGCTGACCTGTATCCCAGAATTGAACCTCCAAATGGAGGATGGGAGTGATATGACCTTTGTTTAAGCATTTTACTCAGAAGTTTTCAAACTCTCCAGTGGGGAGTCATATTTCATGCTGGGGAATTTTGTGGGGCTTCCAAGGGATTTTCAGTAGTAAACAGTAGGAAGTGTTTCCAGCTGTATTTCTAAGTGGTTTCAAGGTGTCACCAAAGTTTTGGACAGGTCCCTATAGACCTTTTAAAAGTTAGAATTTGAATCTGGCAAGAGTCTTAGGAAATTTCTTGGCCAAATGGGGTAGAAATCTGAACTACCCTGAGGGAATGGGAATGAGAGAGCTGGGGAGTGAGAAAGAGGGGTTGCCCTGGGAGAGGAGAAACAAAGGAAGCCCAGGAGGCCACATTTTGTAAGGTGAAAGACAGGTGGCAAAAATGAAGTTGCCCAAGTTGCTGGGATTTGGGGGACAAAGGTTAGACTGGATTTGAAAAGTAAAAAATGAGGCAACATGCTACATTGGGAGATATTTCTGGTGGCTGGGACTTGGCAGCAATACTGATGACCTCTGGGTCAGGCAAGCTACCAGGTACTATGACTACTAAGATGACAAAATGTATAGATCCTGCCCTCAAAGAACTCACAGTCTAGTTAGAGAGATGGGTATGGAAACAAAAACTTGTAGTATGGTATAGACAAGGTGAGAAGGTTGAAAAGGGGGAGGGTGGGTCAGAGAGGACTTCACAGAGGAGATATTTGAGTTTTAATGGCAACCAGAATTCTAGATTTTATTCTTAGTGTGATGAGGTGCCATTGGAAGGCCTTGAGAAAGGGACTAAGGTGCTCCAATTTACATTTTAAAAGGTCTTATGTGATACTACAGGGAGCTCTTGTGATACAGAGCCTAAGGCATTTGATGGCTAACCAGAAGGTTGGTGGTTCAAACCCACCAGCTGCTCTGGGGAAGGAAGTTGGGGCCATCTACTTCTGTAAAGATTTACCACCTGGAAAGCCAATGTGGGTAGGTATGAGTCAACTTGATGGCAGTGAGTTTGGTTTTATGGTTGTGGTGCGATATTAACCAACTCCATTGTAATTGCTGTGTGAAGCAAGAATGGAAGAGAAACCTATTGAAGCACTCTAGGAGGGAAAGAAGGAGCCTTGGTGGCATAGGCATACTCATTAATCATTCTGCTGCTAACCGAAAGGTTGGCAGTTGAACCCACTGGCTGCTCTGTGGGAGAAAAATGTGGCAGTTTGAGATGTACAGCCTTAGAACCTGTATGGGCAGTTCTACTCTATCCTATAGGGTCACTGTGAGTTGGGATCCACTGAACAGCAATGAGTTTTTTGGTTTGGTGGTGCAATGTTAAGCAGCTCAGCTGCTAACTAAAAGACTGGTGGTTTGAACCGTATTGGGCAGTTCTAGTCTGTCACATAGGGCCACGATGAAGTAGAACCAACTCCTTGGC